GTACGCGTACCAGCTGCCCTTTGACGGCGCGCCGAGCATCATCGTGACGTCTTCCGCAGCCGTCGCGTTGTTGACGAGGTGGACCAGCCGGTGCTTGTGGTTCCCGCGCAGCGCTTCGTCGCTGATTGGCTTCTCGCCAATCTTGCCCCGCCAGTACACGCTGTCCTTGCGCTGCCGAAAGTCCTTTTTGTGCTCCGGCTCGTCTTCCGTCAGGGGCATCAGCGGTAAGAGGATGTCGTTGAAGCCGTCGGCTTTGAATCGGCCAAAGATGGGCAGCAGCTCCTGCGCCGGCTTGATAGGGGGCGCCGACGTGTGGAAGCTGTGGAGACGGGTCAGGTCTTGCTGGTCGCAGAGGCTCTTGGACTGTGGATAATTCCACATGAACTGCTCGTCTTCGTGCCACTTTACGCACGAGGTGCAGAAGTCGCGGACGTTCCAGTGGAGCCCTGACCTTCCTGGGGTGTTGGTCGGGCACACGGAGGCTTCCATGTCCCGCCATGCTTTGGTCGATTCGTACATCGCCTGCTTGGACTGAGGAATCGCCGGTGAGCCTCCCACGGCCTTCGACTCTGCGTTTCTCTCAACGTTGCCTTCAGGGGATGGTATTTCACCAGAACCTCCAGCCGAAGCATCCTCCATCGAACGCGACGATAGAAGCTTGAACTTCTGCTTCATTCCCGTGAGTGTATATCTATTGAGCTCAGACCACGGTGTCAGGACCCGAGGCTGGTTGCTCAAGTTGATGGGCAACTTCATGTCGGACAGATGCTCGGCAAAGCCCCCGATCATGGCCACAAGCTCGTCCAGAACCTTCTTGTTTGCGTCATTGCCCTCGTAGTTGTGGGTAACCTGCTTGTTCTCGATCGTAACCATGGCGATATGAGGCTCTTTTGGTACCCTCTCATTGTAGGCTTGCCGGATCGCCTCTGGCTTAACGCCCCAAAAGGGCAGGATATCGCTCTCCATCTGCTCAAAGTGGTCGATGATGACAGATTTCCGAGCCTTTGCGAATTCGTACCATTTGTCAAAATTAGGAGGCGGGTCTCTCCCGTAATGCCGCTCGTGGTACACGTCGACGGCAACGTTCAGGTTGTCGCTGGTCATGGCATGGCGCATCCATCGATCGGATTCCACTCGAACATCATAGATGAGTCTATTCAGTGGGTGCTGTTTGACTGTTGCCGACTTGAGGAGCCCGTAGATCGTCATGCCGACGAACATGGAGACCATGAGCACGAGGATCAATGCTCTGGGTATGAAGAGGAGCGAGCGGACGTTGGTGCTGTACAGAAACATGCTGTAGCCGAGGACCAGAAGGTACAAAGGCCCGATGGCGCTCAGCCTGGATTCCATTTGCCATTTTCCAATGTGCATGATGTTTTGGGTGGCAGCAGTGAGGCCGCAAATGAAGGTGATGATACTAGTAGGGGTTACGGGATTTGTCTCATAGACAAGGATGCTCAGCGAGGTGACGAGAACCGCAAAAGCGAAGCTATCGATGAAAATGTCAAAGATGTACAGGGAGTTAATCCCGCTAAAGGAAGTGGGATATCCCTCACTAGTGGAAACAAGGGGTGAGATGAGGATCTGGAAGACTTTAATAAAGACTCCCGAGAGGGCCAGAATGGTGCCAAGGGTCCTCAAACGCAGCTTCGTTGTCTTGGTCCAAGCCAGAATGCGCCAAAACAGGGAGACGATGACCGCGTCCAAGAACAGTCCGAGTAGTTGGAAAGCAAGAGTGGTCATCCGGCTGTCCGATAGAGCGGAACAGAAGAAGGTTGACCTGGGATCTTGCGAGATGGCGACAAAAGTGCCGTAGCTGAAGAGGCAGGCACTTCCAAGCGCCAGCGTTCGGGAGCCGTTTGCCCATACTGCAATGTCGTCGCCAATGCTTGCCCATGGGTCCTCCTCAGGGGGTGGTGGTCGGGCTCTTTGATAGTATAGAATGTGATAGAGGACTAGATAGATACACAAGAACGACTATTGGGCCGTGTCAGTCTCGTCATTCACCTGACGATGGAGGCATATTCGCAACTCACCTGCACTCCCGGCACAGAGCATTGTAGCTGGGCGGTCACACGATGAAAAACCTCGAGACGGAGAAAGATGCAAAAGATGAGCAACGGGGCAAAATATCGCCGCGGTCTAGCAGGGACTGTCTGCTCAAAGGTGCTCTTGGAGCCCGCACGCTCATCTGAAAGGTGATGTCAGCACCGGCTACAGGGAATCCTCCCACAAGGTATACGACGGAACATACCGAATCTTCCGTCCGCGCCAGGAAGCCATGCGGCGAGATAGCTCGCCAGCCATGTCAAACCTCCCGATAGCAGAAGTATTAGAACGGATGAGAGACGTGGATACTCTGGAATACCATTGCGTCAGCGGGAGAAGCTTCTTCCTGTTTCCCACGTGGTGAACGGGGATAAATAAAAGTCTTGGCAGACTCAGCCCGTACCGATCAGAGAATGTCCCTCAACGTTGGAAGATATCCAGAGAAATGAACCAACAACACTGTAGTTATGTCAGAATTGAGAGTGCGTAGTATTGGGAAGAATTGAGGATCTTCTTACCACAGCGCCGTCAGATGTATTTGCGCATCGCGTGCCATTGAGGGAGACTTTCACCAGCCCAAGCCTGGGTGGTCGTTTTCGCTTTACAACGCAGCCTCAAGTGTCTTCATGCGTTCAATGTGAACCAAGCGAATCGTCTTCAATTCAACCGACCAGGGGAATTTCAATGCATTTCTCACCGTCGTTGAAGGAATTGATGGACAAAGCCTCCCGGCAGGCAGTCGTCGTCCTTCCTTCACAGGGGTTGCCGAGTTGTCGAATTCTTACCTAATCCAATTAAATAACAGGGCAAAAGACGCGTCCTTCCTGGCCCGTTACCCCCTAGCACCGCCCCCCTTGAACCGCGTCAAGCTCCCACCCTCCACTTCAATCCCGACCGCTCCGCCGCCGACCCAACTTTCCGCCGTCCGTCCCGGCACCGACATGTGCTGACATCCCACACCACCACCATCCTCCGCCCAATCTCAAATTCCGCAACGTCGATTGCCGAACAAACCACCTAGCCACACCTCCTAGCAACCCTCCTCCTCAGTTCTGGAAACATCAACGACAACAACTCCCCCCCAAATGGCGCAACAATGGCCGGCATCAACGAAGCCCCCCTCATCAAACGCCTCGCCGTCCCCGGCTCCTGCGCGCTAATGGGCTTCCTCTCCGTCTCCTCCCAGATCCTCTTCTACGTCGCCGACGACTCCCTTGCACCCGGGCGACTCACCCGCTCCGAGACGTACACCTTCAACGCCCTCCTCGCCTGCCTCTGGTACACATACTACAAGTCCTGCACCGTCGACCCGGGCCGCTACCCCTTTCCCGACGCCGCCGTCGTCGAGGTCCCCGAGCCGGACGAGTACGGCCTCGTGAGGCGCTGGTGCAAAAAGTGCGCCGCCCCGAAACCGCCTCGCGCGCATCACTGCCGGCACTGCGCGCGCTGCATCCCTCGTGAGCAACAATATCCCCTCTCTCGTCTAACTTGAGCAGAATGCAGTACACTAACAAACGAAATCTTCCCGCTAGGCATGGACCACCACTGCCCCTGGACAGGAAACTGCGTCTCCCTCACGACATTCCCACACTTCCTCCGCTTCCTCGCCTATACAAACTTCTCCCTCTGGTACCTCGCCAGCCTCCTCTACGCCCGCTTCGCCGCCATCTGGGACAACCGCCTCCTCCCCTCCTACCTCGGCCCTTCCCTCCCCATCCTCGTCCTCCTGACCCTCGACACCTTGATATGCTTCTTCAGCTCCCTCGCCCTCGGCATCCTCTTCTTCTCCACCGTCCGCGGCTGGGTCCTCAACGAGACAATGATCGAAGGCTGGGAAGTCGACCGCCACGCCGCCATCTGCGATCGCAACCGTAAAGATGCCGGTGAGTTCTGGTCTATGACGGGACCGGACGGGAAGAAGCTCCGGCTCGAAAAGGTCGAGTTCCCGTATGACGTGGGGATTTATGCGAATCTGTCGCAGGCGATGGGTACTGCGAACCCGCTGCTGTGGCTGTTCCCCTTTGCGAGCAACCCACACATAAGCAAGAACGGTCACGGCGTAGGATGGGAGTGGCCCGAGAACGGGCTGAATCGCAAGGAGGGGATGTGGCCGCCGCCGGACCCGGACAAAGTGCGCCGCGCCGCGCAGGGAGGCTGGCCATCGACTCGGGACGCCGAGGATATGGTGGTGCCGAGATACAGGAGCAAGGAGGAGGAGCTCGATGCCTTTAGGACGCGGCAGGATGCGGATCGGCGGCGGTGGCAGAGTAACCGCTCGCGAATGATGGAAGAGTTGGAGGAGGTGGAGGGCTACGACATGATTGACAGCGACTCTGAAGATGATGGGTATGAGGAGGGCGCGGATGGAGAGCCCGGCTGGACGAATGCGGACGGCGAGCGGTTACAGGATTTTGGCGTAGACGAGGATGAGGACATGACTGACGACGAGGATGTACCTCTAGCGGAGCTATTACGTCGCAGAAAAGTACTGCAAAAAGACGGAGAGGAGTGAGGAGAGGAGTGAGCATCACTGGTCATAGACGATAAGAAAAAAGTAAACAGAAATTTTCTCTTTTTGGGGACTATTGCCCACGGTTCTATACTACCTTCAATCGCCCTAAAACCAACAAAGAGGGGGCATCCAAAGACGGCATCTGCGCTGGCCATGAATCCCCTTGACTCCCGAATCTACCAAACAGAAAAAATGTGCATACAAGACAGGATCAAATCCGCCTTTCCATCCGGGGTTGCCCTGATCCTGTATGCTGAAAGAACTTCAAAACAGCTTTGTTGATCGTGAACCGCTTGCCACTCTAGAAAGCAATCCGCCATCCTTCCTCCACCATCAGTCCAAAGAGCAATCGTGTCGTGCAATCATGAAGCATCATTCCAAGGGTCCAGATCTATCGACCCAACCTCATCCCTGACCCTTCCACACGAAAATTCGATTACCAATCGTCATCATCGTCCTTCTTCTGCATCGCGTTCTTGCGAGCGAGCAGAGCATCCGCCAAGCTGTTGCCCAAGCTGGGAGTCGGGGTGTTGCTACGGCTGTTGTCGGAGCCGCTAGCTCCGTTGAGGCTCAAGCCCGAGTCGCGCGGCTGAGCAACGGCCGGCTTGCGTCCAGCAGCGGGTCGCTTCATGGGCGGCTGAGGAGGAGTCGGCTTGCCACGGGCGGCCGCTCCGTTGGCCGAAGGAGGGGGAGGGGGCGGGCGAGGAGCCACGACGGGCGCGGGAGCCTGCTCCTCAACGTAGGCAGCAGGAACCCAGGCTTGAGCGCCACCGTTCTTCGCGAGCCACCAACCTACCACAAATGTTAGTTTTTTTTCCGATGAATTTCAAATGAGATAGTTGCTTACCGTTGTTCTCCTTCTGGACGACCTCGATCAGGTCACCGGCTCTGACCGTCAACTCGTTCTCCTTCTGACCGGCAAAGTCGTACAGGACCTTGGCCATGATCTTGGCCTTGGCGGGGGGCGCAGCGGGAGGCGGAGGAGGAGGCATTCTGGTCGCTGCAGAAGTTGATGATTGCTGTCTGGTATGTGAAGGAATCGAAGCGGCAGCGGCGGCGGCTTGTGGTTGTTGACGTCCAAATGGTCCAGTCTTGGCTGAGCTGATGGCAGCAGGAGGTTGAGGAACCGATCTTGCAGAAGAAGCAGCAGGTCGAGGCTGAGGAGTCCGGTTGGTGTTTGTCAGCCGAGAGGGTCTACCGTTGGGGCCACCAGGCTTGATGAGCTTGCCACGGGTAATGGGTCGAGCGGCAACGGGCTTGCCCTTGGGTGTCGGCTTGGAGACAGACGATGGGGACTCGCCCGGTTGAGTGTGTACACCTCCGCTCTTGTAGAAGTCCACGGCCTGCTGAGAGTCTTTGAGGACCTTGACCGTTTGCATCTTGCCGGGCTTCTTTGCGTACTCAATCACTTCGCCAATCTTGAGATTAAAGCCACCAGGCATGACACGCTGCATTTGCGTGAACATTTCGGTCTTCAAGACGCAGTTCAACAAAGGATCAGCCTCCTGGGGCGAGCCCACACCCAAAGAGAACCAGTCATCACGAGCCGAGGAAGCTCCAATGAACTTGATGGCACCAAGAGGCATCGAGCGTTCAACGGATATTTGAGGCTGGCCATTGACAAGCATCTGAGCAACAATGTAGAACTTGCTGCTGGTGACGATCAGGATACGGGGACTTGGCTTACTGGATCGGCCAAACTTGGCCTCCAGGATCTCTCCGCGGCAAGAGAAGACAACCTTCTCGTTGTTGGAGATGCCGATGGCATTTCGAATTTGCGAGCCAGGTCCCATTGAAGCGTTGATTCCCATATAATCACCCAAGAATCTTCGGGAGCCAAGCAGACTGAATCTCCTTCTCTCCTTGCGGTTTTGGAGAACCCTGTGACCCTGGTCACGCAATTGCAGGTACTCGGCTCCGGTTCTCTTCTTACGCCAGAAACGCTGGATACGAGTAGCAGACTCAGCTCTATAGGCCAAGTACGCGCGCCACATGCGCTGAATGCGGGTGGCCATATTGTGCCAGTACCGGTCTCGCATGTGCTCGAGCGCAAAGAGGGTCTCGGGTGACTTGATAAAGGCCTTTGTCGTTCCCATCTGCCATTCTTCCTTGGGAATGCTGGTGTCCTTGAGAATCTGCTTGGCTGCATCCTGGTACGATCCTTGCCAGGTGTACTCGCCGGCGTATGAAGTCGCAGGAGAAAGCAAGAAGAAACGATCCACAAACTTCTCGAATGTTTGACGGTAGGCAAATCCAGCACGACGAATGCGAACGTTCTCCTGAAGACCAAGGTACTTGACTTGGTGAAGGACGTTCGGGACGTTGTACTCGGAGGGCGACTTATTCTCGTTAGGCTTGATGGTTCGGATATAAGAAGGCTGGCACTTCATGAGAGTTTCAACCAGCGCATTCGCGGAGGCCCTAATACGGTCACCGGCGGAAGGGGGCTGCTTGCGGTTATCCTGGTCGACTTGGTTGGGGAAGATTGTGTGGACGAAGCGGTTGCTGCTACCAGAGAATAGGTTGAGCAATCCCTTCAGGAGCAGATCCTTGTTCTTGTCCGTAATTCCGTCCACCGTGTAAGCTACGTCACCAGCATAGTGCTTGATGATGAAGCTGCCTTGACGAGGGGTCAAGTGAGGGTTGGACATGCCGTTGATGCTCTGCATGAAGGTTCGGTCAGATGCAGCAGGATCCGCATGGGCTGTCTTGGTAGCGTCTTTCATGGCGGAGAGGACGCCAGGAGGGCGGATACCCTCGATGAGGTCACACACGATCTTGTTGTCGAAGTACTTAATAGGTGTCCACTGAATCTGTTCGCGTGCGTACTCGTCCTGCTCGGCCTTCAGCGTCAACTGAATGAAGATCTGTTGCAGCTTCTCGTTGACGTAGTTGATGCAAAGCTGCTCGAAACTGTTTTTCTCGAAAATCTCGAAGCCGTAGATATCGAGAATACCGATATTGTTGCTCGTGGCCTGCTTGGCTTTAAGGGACTTGTTGACACGCTCAACGATCCAGTCGAACAAGTTGCTGTAGATGGCCTTGGAAAGAGCGTCTCGAGTGGCGGCGGCCTGGGCTGGGTTCGTCGGTGACTCGATAACCTCGCCGTTTCGCGGAGTGAGAATGCGAATGGTGATAGCCTTTATGAGCTGCTCGGGCGTCACCTCCAACAGGTATGCCAGGAAGTCCACTACCGACTGGTCGCTAACTGCGGCGTATCCGTCCTGGCCTTCGTGGAACTGAATGTTGCCAGCCCATAGGATAGCAGACAGCATGCGGAAGATCTCATCTTGTTCGCCTTGGCTAAGACCAATAATCCTCATAGCCTCGAGCGTATCGTTGAACTCGGCCAAATCGTCGATTCCGTCGACCTCGAGGCACTTCGATCTGCTAGTATAGACGTAGGTCTCGGGTGTCTGGATGCCGAACTGTTGTCGGTAGTTCTGGGAAGCTCCCTTGGTGAACTGGTAGAAAATGTGGAAGTTTCGCTCATTGGTAATCTGGCCGACAACTCTTGACTTCTCGAGAAGGTAGTTGGTGATGTCGGCACCGACAGGTTCGCCCTGCGCATTGAAGTGAATCTGCAGATACTTGCCGAAACGAGACGAGTTGTTATTCCTCAAAGTCTTTGCGTTGCCGAAAGACTCCAGTAGGGGGTTGGTTGCCAGCACCATGTCCTTGATCTGCTTGATGTCGCCCGATTCTCCTCCTGAAACGTTGGCGATGTACTGCATGATCCGCTTGGCGGCTTCCGTCTTGCCAGCACCAGACTCTCCGGAAATGATGACACACTGGTTATCTTGATACGCCTTCATGTTGTAGTACGCAGATTCGGCAATAGCGAAGACGTGCGGGGGCATCTCGAGACGGTTCTTGCCCTTGTAGCTGTCGAGTACCTGGTCGGTGTAGATACCTAGGTCCCGGAAGGGGTTGACTGACACCAATACATGGCCGATGTAGGTATAGATCTCTTGGCCTTCGAATCGTTTCTTGAGATTGTCGTTGATGGCTTCGTTGGACACCTTACTGAGCAACGTGAGATCCGAAACGCCAATCTCCTTCTTCTTCGTGACCTCGTATGTGGCCTTCTTGGGCTTGCCGCCGCCAGCCCCTCCGGACGGTCCGGCGGGGCCAGTCTTTGCGGATTTGTCCTTGGGACGTCGTGAGATACCCTAGAAATATTGAAAGCGCAAACGGTCAGTCCTCTCTCCTTCTCGTGGTCGTTGGTCGTGGATTTTTGGAGTCGCTGCAGCCGAATCGGAGCGGTGCGCGCGCGCGGGGCATGAAGCGTCTCACCATGCTGGGCAGTTCTCAATGGAGGGAATGCCGGTATCTGTTGATGGTTTGCGCAAGCAAGCTTTGGACAATTCGTGAATGCGCGCTGGTGATGAAAGAGCGAAAGGTTTGCTTCTCTGCCTAGGTTTTTTTTTCTCCGTTTGGCTTCTTGCTTGCTGAGTGAGAGACTGGAAAGAGCGCGCACCAAAGGTGACGTTGCGGTGCGGACGGAGGGATTACGCAGGTGCAGTGTGGCTGGTTCTTGCCCGAGATCCAAATCCAAACGTTGGCCGACTGCTCTGTCCAAGTGGTGCCTGACGACCAGTCTCCGTTAGTTCTAGAGGGGGCTTAGAAGGTACAATCAGCCAATCGCAAGCGGCATAACGACCAAGCACAGCCTCAGCCCGGAGAATCGGTGGCGCCAGGTTCCGCGTAATGCCCAACATTGCTTTAGCGCCCTTTAAGCGAATCTCCACTCCTCATATCCTCCACCTCAGTGAGCCGTCTCGTCCCCTGTCCATCCCGCAGAAGAGCGGGAGATTATCTTGGAACCTTCTGCCCAAAAAAAGACTATCCGGATATGTGTCCCTGTTCTGAATAACGGCTTTGAGGTCATAGCTTTTCTTACCCCTCCAGCCCATTGGCGAAAGAGGGGTCGCTTTGTGTGTGTGCCGTTCATAACCTGCCTGAAGATAAAATCTTCTCAGGTGCCCGCCATCTCAGAAATTTGGAGTCTATGTACAGCGCATAAGGTCAATTTAAGGCCTGGACATGGTTCGTCCCAGACTGTGCTGAATACTGCGCTGAAGTATTTGTTTCACGCTTAGAGTTTTCTAGCCGCCATCGAACCGAATACCTACTACCTACTCCGTACACTACCAGCACCTCGTGGTAGTCATGACGATCCGCGCCGATGTCGGCTTAGTCGCTCTGCACGCTGTCCACTCACATATTCATCACTCTTAATCAAAAGTCTACTTTGCGGCTTGGTGGGTTAGGCGTTGCGCAACATCTTGAATAAAGTCTCTTGATGCCGCTTCAACTGTCTTTATCGTCAAGCCGCTACGGCTTATCAGAACGGATCTTATAACGGATCCTCATTAACCCATATCCCTATTGCCAGTCATGAAAACGCTCGTCATACGTGCCATCTTACATTGCCCACCATTACCCCATTAGCCCCATTCCTAAGCCTCGCACGAAACGAACGTCGTCGGCCTGTCGCTCCAGAGCCATCCTCATCCTCTCGCCATACTCTTTCTCGGCCTCTTCTACTCTTGCCTCTTCCTCCGATTTAGGCTCTGGCTGTTCAAAGTCGCTTGCGGTAAACCCGGGCTTGCCGGAGAAGCTGACGAGGCCCAACTTCTCGCCTGTCCAGAATAGTATGTCATCATCGTTAACATTATCTTGTCCGCCACGCGTTTGCGTCGACAGGATCTTCCTCGCGAGGTCATCAGAACCAGGCATAGAGGCGAATAGAGATGGACGCTCATCCACCTCGCTGTGTCCGATCTTGTGCCGTCTCACCTCAGTGAAGCCATCGCGCTCGAACCACTTGAGAAGTCCCGACCCATCCGAAAATACGATGCGAGTACCCTGGTTGGCGACAGAGAGAATCTTGGACTGGGAGGACGTTTGACGATTCTTCATGGTGGAGTTCTGCACGAGATCTGCAGACGAACCTCCTGGCCGTGGGCACAAGCCGTACAACTCCAAAGAACCCTTGGTGTTATACTCGCCTCCGGCGATCAAAGTCCGGCCTCCTTCCCTCGTCTTCGACTCCATCACTTGTTCAACGGTCAAGTCGCTCCTACGACGTGTCTCGCTGTCGAGTGTGGAGAATGGGTACGGCAGAGACGCGAGACTAGCCAGTCGAGCTCCCGAATGAATCGAGCCCATGATTGAAGGGAATGTGCGTCTGTCGTAGTGCAGGATGTTGGAGAAGCGACCTGCGACATATATGTCGTCCGAGAAGGAGTACTCATCGCAAGCATTTGGCAGGTGCAGGATGCTCAATGGCGTAGGTTGTGATAAAGGAGCATAAGGCGGCAGCGGATCGTCGAAAACGCTGCCTCGCCTACGTTGGAAGAACCCACTTGGCGAATCGACGGCTAACACATCTATCCTGTCGATGATCTCACTCGGCGACCTGACTCGCGCCCTGTAGTCGTAGAGATGGATTCCCAAAGAGGTTCCTACGGTCAAGGGCAAGCCTGGAGCGGCGGAAGAAAGCGCTGTGATGGACCATTCGAATGTCTGTTCGCCAACGACCTCGAGACGGTTGAGATCCACCTCTAGCAGGTGGCCCTGTACTGCGACAAAGGCCTTGTCGGAGAAGTTGTCGACGCTGACGCATTCTGTCACTCCGGTATCGATCTTGCGTGATCTACCCATTGTCTGTGGTCCGTCGAGATATAAGATGCCCGCTGAGCTTTTGGCGATGGTGGCACCCTTCTGACCCCTAGTACCCTTTACGTCCCACAAGCACATGGAGCCGTCATCCAATGGCGACACCACAAGTAATTCGTCGGTTTCTCGACTCGGGGTGTACAGAGCCATCCCTCGGACATCCAGCGTATCCTCCTCGGTCCCGTCTCGGATTTTGGGCTGCTGTAGCCAACTTGTCGCAATCGGCGCATACCGCTGTATGTACTCGTTATACCAAAAGACCGGCTCTGTCGGAAACGAGGGGTCCCAATTCGCCATGTCCTTGTACCGCTGTAGCTTGCGCTGTTCCTGTGTCTCCTCATCGTAGAAGAGGAGGTCCGGTTCTGTGTCACCATCTTCTTCCTGACTCAGTTGTACGGCACCGTTGCTGAAGATAGGGTAGTCAGTGATGTCGTCGTCGCGAAAGGAAGTGATGCGCCGCCGTCTTTGCAAAGCCTCTAAAAATGGCGACTCGTCAAAGGTTCTCGATCGCCAGTGATTGTTGTCGAGAGAAATCTTCTGGAGCTTTCGGCATACGAGCTGCAAACCGGGGAAGTCGTAGGGCTCTAGGACTGAGGGGCACCGAGCCATCAGCTAGGAATTCCGGTAGCACGCCTGCCTCTTGGCAGAATAAGAAAGGCTTACTCACAGGAAAGAACGCGCAACAGGATCTCGTCTGGAAGCTCGTCCAGCTTCTTCGGGGGCGCCGACGACACCATTGTGCCGTGGGGTTTTGGGAAAGAAACTCTCGAGTACTCTGTAGTCTCGTTGATTATACTTCTGGCTGGGTTTCGGCGAGATAGAGGGGAGCCCGGACGGGATCCATGGAGAAGAGGGTCGAAGGATGATCCTATCGTTATCGTTATCGGGTATTGCCTGTGCTCTAGCCTATCATGGACTAGTGCAGATCCGGGGGTGGGCCGGATAGAAACGCCTGGACTCTTGAGTGGGCTGACCTGTCAAAGCTCCAGGCCAGTCGGGTTGCTTGGGCTCTTTTTCTTTTGTTTCTCGCTTCCACCTACGCAGCTCCCAAAACATGTGGGGTGTTGTCCTGCTTCTGGCTTTCGTTTCCTGGCCGAAACGATTCCTTTAAGACTCCTGCTACTTGTTTGCTTCACGTAAGCGATTCAATAGCTGCAGGATCAAGGCGGTGACCAAGCAGGATTCTACGCGGCACAGCCACGTCTCCGGTGAAACGGACTGTGACACTGGGACAATTGCAGACCCATCTCTTCCCGCTCTTGAGAGCCGTTCCCATGTTAACTATGACATGCTTGGCAATCAGCCGATGCCGCAAGCCTTCTGGTGATTCAGAGTGCTTCTGAAAGTGATTGCCCAATTACCTCAAAAGCACACACACAAAATTTCAGAAGAGACAAATGAAGTGTCGAAATCTCACCGTTTTATTCGCTCCGTCGATATCCAGTATCCAATCAATTGAATCGGGTTAAATGGTCAATCATGTTGATTTCTTTACAACACTTTTCTTTTCGATGTAATAGTCCTTGTTCCACCATAAGCTCTACCGTAATCGTTGACTCATTAGTAGGCCGTTGGAAAGATCTTGATATATTTGTCAAGAAATAACCACTACAAGACAAGGCGTGGGATTTCAGGAACACAGGAAAAGAACTCGAATATGTTGAGACAAAATCATGCACATCTGCAACTTCACGAGCTGAAAGGGGCATAATAATCATAAGTTGTACAGAATCAAATGACTATTGAAGTGCTTCGAGATATAGTGATTGTCCACAGCCAACCCCTACCCCAAAAGACTAAAGCTTTGTGTTTAGACAGCCACAGGTAATATAGGCAGATGCTGGCCTTTGTCTCGAGCTAGATGTTAATGTGCGTTCAAGGAGCCAAAAATAAGTCTGAGGCTTACGGTATCATTGTTCGGACACTTCGTTCTTCTTTATAGTGTGCAGTCGAGTTGCTAGCCGACGTTTATTCGAGGAAATACTTTATTTATCCTTTTTTCCTGGTGACAGCCTGATCCTGACCACCCTGCGTGTAGTCATGCGGCGCAGAACCAGAGCTGACTGCATGTAGATCGCACATAGCCGTAATACTCCTGCCTACAAGAAGCCACAATTTCCTTTTTTTAGAGCCGAAATCCGGTCCACAACCTTCATGTCCTTCGTCGCTTCTTAGCCATGCCGAACTATAGTTGTAGCCAGATTCCCGAGCCCCTCAGAGCATACGGCGACATCACAGGACTCGGAGTAAGTGAATGATTTCAGATTAATATGAGTCTGTCAGCAGCTTCTTACGACTCCCTCAGGTTGTTCTTGCTTTCACGATTGCAGCATGGTCGACGATCCTAATATTAATCGCTTACTATCTGTTCGGATTTGATCCAAGCCTGAATCCGTATCGCAAGATGACGAATCAGGGCGAGGAAATAGTTCCAATAGCAACACGACAACCCAACCCTGCCGATCAAATGATCTACAAACACACAAAGCGTCTCAGGGGTTGGTTTGGATATCACCCAGACGAGACGAGTGGTGTTGAGCAAGCATTCCACAAAGTCCGTCACTGTCATGGTATCTTTTTGAAGGTCACTTGCTAATGCATTATTTTTCTTATGC